AAAAAAAACTTAAAACTGGCGGGGAAAGTGTGCACCAAGATGTGTTTGTTTGATGCAATTTGTTTGAACTGCCTTGGCTGGGGCGTTGGCATTGCTAAGGGGCGGTGTGCTTATCAGGTATCAACATTGCAGGGCCGCACCCCCCACGTGATGCCGCAGGTTCATTCTTCACCGCGGCGTGGAACCAATGTGACAAATTCTGAGTTGGCCACGTAGGTTGTGCAGTGTTTGCTGTGTTGTTGATTTGTTGTTTTCAGGCCGCTTTGCTTGGCTCAGGCATGTTCTTGAAACATGTTCAACGCAGGGCTCAATCTTGCACACCGCACTCCGGACCAACGTAAAGATTCCCGGCCAACGGCATGACCCCCTACCGAGGGACGCTTTTGTGAGACCCTGAGGGAAACAGTTCATTTTTGGAATAGTGCACACACTAGGAACATGGCCGCGGCTGCAGCCCAAGAATTCGTGTCAGGGCCACGAGTAATACAAGCCAGGGGCTTATGCGCGGCCGCCAGGTTTGCAACATGCACACGTGCACGTGTATTATTCGAAGATTGCACGCGACTTGTGTGGAAACCGCACCTCACTTTTTGATTTCCTGGACGCTAAAACTTTTGGGAGGACCAGTCTAGTGGCACACAAAAAGCTCAGACTTCTTGGAACCACCAACTCAGGAAGTGAGGCACGTATGGTTTGGTGCGCATGTTTATCCCTCCCGCTCGCTCGGTGACCAGGCTGCACACCAGCTCCTGGACCAATTTTCGCTGCGCCAACTGTGCGAGGCAGCGTGAAACAGGAACCAAGAGGAGTCACACGACAGGCTTCCAGCGTTTCGAAGTCGAGCTGCGGCCATTTTATTGGATGATGCAAACCTTCCGTTTGATATGGTGTGATGCCTTGCAGACGCCTGGTTGGTTGCACTAGCCGCATGTCTGTTGTTTGATTTGAACAAGGTTTGATTTGCTTCATCCGTCAGCCGGCAGAATAGAGAGTTCGCAATACAGGTCCAAACAAATGGGGCCAGAAGGGTTGTCAAAGACACTGTTGCAAACGCCGGTCTGGCTTGCAGGAAAGTTTATGATGAGGAAGGACAACATGGGGCTCAGTGTGACAAATCTATGTCTATTCGATACTATTTGCTGCATGTGTGTGGTTTTATTCTTGCAATTCACACAGCCCAGAACACGAAGAGCCATTCGCTTCCTGAGTTCCTTGTCTTGATGGTTTTTTGGAAGACCATTCTAGTGGCAAACGCAAAGCATTGGTTTTTTCTTGCAAAACATAATAGGATTTCTTCCTAGCTAAAAGACGGCCTAGCCACGAAGTGAGATAACCAATGCACGTCTTTTCTGTTTCCTTCGCCTTGCTGCGCGCCTTCCCGGCGCTCAACACACTGTGTGGAGGCGTTAGCCACCGCCCCGGCGGAGGATGCAGAGCCAGTGCCTGAGATGCGTGCGCTTGCCCGGGCGCTCCATGCTGTGGGTTGGGTGGTGCGAAATTGGGTTTCGTCCATCCACGGTATACGTGTTTCTCTTAGGTCGATGTTTGGCGTGGTGGTTGCAGGGCTCACCAAAAAAACACTTTGTGTTTTCATTTTTGGTGTAGGAGCAGAAAACTGGTTCTTTGCAGCCTCCATTTGCTTAAAAAGAATCATGGTTTGTTGTCCCTTCTGGAAATTTGTTTAGATTATTCCCAGTGGCTTAAGCAAATAGAAGACTTCGTCGATTGGTTTCGCTGGGCTGCCACAGTTCAGCTTAATTTCGAGCCCGAAGATTGTAATCTGTCAGCCCAGATCACCTCGAAACAAAACACGAAAACGTTGAAACAACGGCCCGGCGCTGTCTTCAAGGAACGCTTCCAAACCTTCTCAATGCCGAATCAACTGTGAAAATCATTTCTTACCGTTTGCTTTCTAGGCGTTCCGAAAGGTGACAGCTAAAAAGGCATGTGGGTCTGCAATTTTTACTGCCTGCAGCAATTGTTTGCTGGCTTATCTTGGGTTCGCAAAGCAAAGTTTTCTCGAGCACCGTCTCGGCCTCAAGGCCCTTGATCTCAGCCTTGGAGGGCCTTGGCGAGATCGAGGAGGCGACCCGGCTTTGGGCACCCAAAGGTTGGCGAAGTTTGACCTTGGCGCCTGTTGAAGGGAATCAACAAGAATTGTTCGCCTAAACCTGGCGGCAAGTACTGCATCGAGTCTTTTAGTCATATTCGTGATTTGTAAACACCCACACACACCCTCCAAGAGCCTCGCTAGGGGAAGACTAGAACAAACCGAACATGGACATGCGAGAAGCAGGAGTCGTGTTTGGGGTGGGGCAGTGGCCGTTTGCTGACTCTGTGTTGTCGCCTGCGGCAGGTCCGCGCGCTCTTTGTGGAAGAGGACGTCAAAGCCTTCCTCACGCAGGCGAAGCAAAGATGGACAAGTTGTGGTGTGTTGTATGGGGGGGGGGGTAGGTATGAAGAGGGTCACGCCGACTTCGTTGCCTTCAGTTGCAAACGCGCCCTAAACATGTATGCGCGCGCCCTAGTAGGGCGCATTCGTGCTGATGTTGATGAACAATCCAGTTTGTGACCTTCCGGTTTTGGTGGAAGAGTTGGGCACCAACTTAACAACTGCCTTGTATATAGGTGGGGGTGTCCTTTTTGCACTTCCCTGCGTGCGTTTAACTTTGTACATGCCAGATTTCGATGATGATAACGTCCACCATTGAACTGCCAATACTTGTTGCATCTGCAGATTTCTCGGTCTACATGCAAACGCAGTGACAAACGGTTTTCGTTGAAACCCAAATCGCGCCGAAGCTTTGCCTCAGGGCGTCTCTGCCGGGCCTCGGGCAGGGAGCCTCAAACTGAGCGCGGAAGTCAATTGCGCCGCAAAGTTTGTTTCCCCTTTGCGAGGGCCCGTTCTCACGAGTTTCAACAAGGCCAGCAAAAGGAACACTGCAACAACCCGAGGGTTGGGCCAATATGGGCCAATGTTGGGCCACCGCCTGAAAAGGTACGCATGTTTTTTTTGTGTGATCGTGGGTGATACTTTTCGGAGAGTGGACAGCTCCACAGGCAAACACCCAGAAATCCCGATTTGCGTGCGGCTTGGTTTCGCTGGAGTTTCTTGCCTTCCTTTCTTGAATGGGCCTAAAGTTGCAACATGAAAACGAACCCTATGAGCCTCTGAAACTCAGACAGTTTTTAATTTAAGAATCACGGTTGTGGTCTATGCACGTTGAAGTTAAACCCGTTTGAGCTGGCAGTTGCTTCAGTGTGAGTGGGCGCAGTGCGAGTGAGGTGGTGAACCATGGCACTTGGATCATGGTTTTGCGTGTCCTTTTGGCTTCCCTTTGAACCAACCCTGAGAAGGGCACCTTCGGCGTGGCTTGATTTGGGCCAGCCGGACTTGATATTTTTGTTTGGAGTCTGGAAATGACAGATAACGTGGTCACCTCTGCGTAAAAAGATTTTAGCCAAGGTCCCTCGAGATCCCTTTCTGTTTGGACTCTAGGGATCTTTTTCGGGGTACTAGTCTACGTTTCTTTGATGTTTCAGACCTTAGCCCGCATTCGCCCCATGGGCCCTCCCCCAACCATGTTTGCGATTGTCACCGGCGGAGCATGCGTTTGGGGTGCGTTTCAATTTGTTAATGGTGACATGTGGAGTATGTGAAGGAGTATGTGAAGGCGCTCCCACGTACCTCAGGATGGGAAGCGCTGGGGTTTAAGCTTCGCGCGGGCCGCCCTGGCCGTTTGGGGTTCTCTTTTGTTAGGGTTCCTTGTTTCGGGTGGTTTTGACTGAGTTTTGCTCTAGTTGATTCCCTGGCAGCGTATCTCGACGAAAAACACAACTCCTCCAAGGAAACCCCTGATTGCCCTTGGCTTCTCGCCAGTTGCGGGGTCTGGTCGCCAAGCTGCTGGCTCGCCTTGCCAAGGCAGAGGCCTTGGGTTGGGGGGCTGGTGGAGGGCGGGGAACGGGGGGCTCAGACAATTTGGTTAAAACGGTGGAGGGAGCTTGGTTAAGAGAGGATTGTGAGTTGGGGTGAGGGGGGGGTGGGGGTGCAGAAATCGCTTGCTTGATCCACAAGCCTGAAGAGAGAAGGTGCCTGCGCTGAAGGATGTTGAACAGGCGGGAGCTTACCCAAGGAAGCGAGGTCGCCACATACATTTCTAGAGGAATGTGCTTCTTCGAGCGCGGCTGCGTGAACGCGGAGGCTGCTTGCATTGCAGGAGTGCAAGTTGCTCCCCTTGTGAACATCGCGTTCTTCAGCTGGTTTATAAGGTTGCCTTCACGGGTCGTGTGCTTTGTTGGTTGTTTCTTTGGGAGGCAGCGCAGTCTGGCAAGCTGCGGTTTTGTGAAAACAACATAAGAAGGGCACGCCGGGCTCGGGGCACCTAGGATGCCTACACCAATCAGCAATCAGCCATTCATCATATGTAAGAGATTGACTCAATTGTGGTTGCACCCTTGGAGCGGTGTTGCCATACATACATACATGTGCATGCCTACATGCGTACATGCAAGACATGCATACATGCGTGAATTAATGAATGTATGCGTGCATGCATGCGTGTAAGCATGCGCATGTATGGTTGCACGTATGTGCGTATGTGCGTATGTATGTATGTATGTATGTACGTAATGTAATGTAATGTAATGTAATGTAATGCAATGTAATGTAATGTAGTGTAATGTAAGTATGTATGTATGTACGTATGTACGTATGTAATGTATGTATGCGTGTATGCATGTATGTATGTATGTAATGTATGTATGTATGTACGTATGTACGTATGTACGTATGTACGTATGTACGTACGTATGTGTCTGTCTGTCTGTCTGTCTGTCTGTCTGTCTGTCTGTCTGTCTGTCTGTCTGTCTGTCTGTCTGTCTGTCTGTCTGTCTGTCTGTGTGTTCATGTATGAATGAATGGATGAATGAATGAATGAATGAACGAATGAATGAATGCATGAATGCATGAATGCATGCGTGAATTTGCATGCATGCATGCGTGTAGGCATGCACATGTATGTGTGCACGTATGTATGCATGTATGTATGTATGAATGCATGTATGTATGCATGTATGTATGAATGAATGCATGTATGTATGCATGTATGTATGTATGTATGTAATGTATGTAATGTATGTATGTAATGTAATGTATGTATGTATGCCTGTATGTATGTATGTATGTATGTATGTATGTATGTATGTGTGTGTGTGTATGTATGTGTGTGTGTATGTGTGTGTGTGTTGTATGCATGCATGCATGCATGCATGCGTGCATTCATTCAGTCATTCATTCCTTCCTTCGTTCGTTCGTTCGTTAATTCATTCATTCATTTATTCATCCATCCATTCATACGTACATACATGAACACAGAGACATACATACATGCATGCATGCATACACATACAGACATACACACAGACATAAAGACATACAGACATACAGACATATAGGCAGACATACGCACATACACATGTACGGACATACAGACATTCAGACGGACAGGCAGAGACAGAGACAGAGCAGAGACAGAGACAGACAGACATGCAGCCACACAGACGCACACACAAACACACACACACACCCAAACACACACAGACAGAGACAGACAGACAGACAGACACAGACACAGACACAGACACAGACACAGACACAGACACATGCGCACATACACATACACACATGCACAGCTACAAATGCACACTTGCACTAACTGCCTACTCACATACCTGCCTACCGACCGACTGACCGACCTACTTAAACCCACCTCTCATGCATACACACATGGAAACATGCATCACGCATAAATACGTAGATGCACGCAAACGTACTGGCAGCTACCGCATGAATACACCGGTGCGCCAGGCGATGGCAAACCGGCTTCTTGAAGCAACTCTCTTTGACTTGTGTGCGCTGCTTAGCTGGTCGCTTGCCAAGCTAGGGGGGGGAGAACTTTGGCAGGCGGCTGTCCCAAGTTTTGCTGTTTTTTTTGGGATGGCTTCCGGAAGGGTTTACAGGAAAGACAAAAAACATCTGGTTTTGAGGGTTGCCAGAATTTAGGACAAGCCCTTTTAAAGCCTTCGGCAGTGTGAAAGTCCACAGCAAATGAAACTTAGGACAGATATTTCCTGGCACGCTACTCCACGCTCCTCAGGAGGAGCTGGGGGCCCCCCTAAGGGCACCTTTGGTCCCCTCCCTTTTGCGAACTCCAGTGACTGTGTTTGGTGATATCTGAAATTACACTTGGCTATGTCCGATTTGTGGAAAACAACGGGCAGTTCCTTCAACATATTTGTCTCAAACCCAGATGCATGTGGCATTCACCAAAGTGTTCACAACTCAATCTCGAACATCCTTCGACACGGGTGCCTTGTCTCCCTCTCTGGATGACCCTTAGTTGTTGATATCCCCAGTTAAGTGGTTTAGGTGGGCTGCACACTGCGTGCAACGCACGGAAAAGAAGGGGAACTTACTGCGCGGGGATCCTGGCAAGGGTGCACCCCTCGTCTAATTGCCATGGAACTTGCACTTGATTCTTAATCCTTTCTATAGCGGTTGTTCAATAGGGGTTTTGGATTGGGATTGCATGTTGGACAGCCCAGTTTTGGGACCCCTTTGGGACCCCTTTGGGAAATACATGAATTTGTAGGGGGGTCGGCCAACTTTTACACGGGTCAAGGTGAGCCACTGCTCCTGGACGAGGAGACAGGGGTGGCGGAGGCTGCCGCACAAGCGGCCGCAGACTTGGGCTCTGCAACCGAGGGATTTTTGGTTGGGTCCTTTTTGGGCTCAGCAGCAGGGTTGTGGGATCAGGTTTGTCCCCGCTTCTGCGATACAAGGGAATCTCCTTGTTGGAGGGCAGCCTTTGTCTGGCAACCAAAGCTGGAAACCCACCATTTTCATTTTGGGGGAGTCCCCGAAAAAGAAAAAAAACACCCGAAGAACTTGATGGTGCTCAGAAGCGTACCTTGTTTGGGATGCCTGGCTGGGAAACGCAGAAAGTGACCCCGTGCCCTCATACCAATCACCTGCCAGTTGTTTGTCCAATTTGAAAAGCAGATGCGCAACCTCCACGCAGCTCATGTCCACCAATGGCTTCCCGACGTCAGAACATGTGTAATCCCAACAGGCAGCGGGCCCATCCAGCCTACCCAGGTCCTTGCCGGTGCCAAGTGGCCTGCCGGCCAGCAGGCGCGCACACGTGTCGAAATGCAATGTTTTGTGGTCAATTCGGGAGGGGCTCGGGCGTCCTAAGTGTCCCACCACAGCAGGCAAGGAGGACTCACTAATCTCTCCGATGTCGACGCGTGGAGCCGCAAATATTGAACCTAGCCTTGCTATTTGGCAGTAGCTGGGAATCACGGTCAGAACCAACATGGCTTGGCATTGCCAGTTGTTTGCCCTTGTGGCTCGGTGATTCGTGACCCCTCCTACCAAACAGCTTGTCGGCCGTGCATCTGCCATTTGGACTCACTAGCATTCTGCCGAATGGTGGCCCTAGAGGTGGGCAGATGCTGCTTGTAACCTTGCTGCTGCCATTCGTCGAGGGATTGAAGGCTCCTCACTGAGGCATTCCTGAGTTTCGGTTCCTTGTTTTTCCAGCTGCACCACTGTTAAAAGGTTGTTGAGGGTGAGCCACCTCTTCCGTTTGAAGGCTATTTGCGTGCGCGACCCCTTTACCCCTGGAAAGATTCCCACGCTCCACGACTCACGACCCCCAAGCCCGCTGTAAGACTCCTTCCTTTGGCGCACGCCTTTCCTCCCAAGTGCAAGGCCTTGGTGGGCGTGTCCCCCGGCACCGGGGCCAGCCTGGCAGCGTGGATCTTGGATCTCCAACTCAGTATCACCCTTCAAAAAGATGAAGCCTAAAGGAGGTTGTTTAGACATCCCTCGCTTGAAATCAACCCAAAATGCCACACTGCCAAACAAATGACACACCCGTCACGTTGATCCAGGACTACCAAAAAAGGGGTCACATTGGGTGCCATCCTGGGAGGTTCTCAAAATCAATCTGCAGCTTCTGAATGCAAACATTTTTGAAACGGTGATCATAACGATGTCATTTTTATTTGCCCGGGATTCCCCCGTCCTGAGCTCGCCGTGCCGCTCAAGAGCACGGGCAAAGTGTGATTCTAAAGAGAGACTTGGATGAGGATGGTCATGATTATGCTTACGCATGCTGCGGGCCCAAACCGGTAAATATGTCACATGCAAACAGCACTGGATGCTAAATGTTTTATTTGTTGGTAGAGCCGTGATTTACTCACCTGTCTTCAGGTCATCGAGCATGATTGGTTGAGCTGTGTTTTCTGAACATTATTTCCTGAAACGAAGCCGACGCAAAAGCACCGAACTGAAGCATCGTCGGAATCCTTTGAAGCCATCCCTGATGCAAAAGTTTCAGACGGTTTTTGAGGACCTTGCCTTTGGGCGAAGGTCCTGCTCTTTCACATGGAATAAGGGCAACATGGCGACCCCTGGGAATCTGCTTGAAAGTATGTGCTCTTTCTTCTTCACGTGGGCGAATAGGTTAAAAGAACTTGGATTCATTATTCAATTCAGAAGATGTCAGTAATAAACCACATACGTCTCCAATTGTGTGCTAAGTGTAACCAGGTTGGGCAGGCTTGAGGAATAGTTTCTCAGCGAAATTAAGTAAGTGAAAGAGGTACTCCTGAATCGGTTAGTGGGTGGCTTGTGGGGTTGAAGCCGGTTCCCCAATTCCTGTTCGCGTCCCAACCAAACCAACCCTCAAGGGGTAAGGTGACTGGAACTTGGGCATCCCCCCACCACGCAGGAAAAACGCGCGCCACTCCAAGGAGCGTTTGCAGTCACGGCTGCCAGAGATGTCTGATGTGCTCGCCTCAGCTCCCATTGCTTCCATCCTTAAGTATTGGGACATGTTGACCTTATACACACACACACACACATATATATATATATATGTGGGACCTTGTAGGCTTTTTAGACATGAAGCCCCAGTTCTGGTTCTTGGACATTCGACCTTATATGTCGGCCCTTGCGTTCTTTTTAGACATGAAGCTGTCGGGGCATGCAGAAAGCCCCACCTTAGAGTGATGTTGGAAGGGAATTGAGGGAGCGGGTCGGAGTAACTACCTGTGGAGCGCAGGTCCAAATTCCAGCATGTCCCATTTGAGCTATGTGGGCGTGTCTCTCTGTGAGGGTACCCCATTTTGAGGCCGTCTCAAAGGGAACCCAAGGAGCAACCGGGCCGTGTGTGCTTGCTTGCTTTCCATTCTTAGCTGTTGCGACTTGTTTCGGCCGAACGGAGTCGCATTGGGTGAGCTATAGCGTTGTTGGGGTTCAGAGGGGTGCAATGAGAGCACCGGTGGTTTGGATCAAAAGTCTGGTGGCGATCTCCTAGAGGCCATGGCTTCCTGTGCAATGTTTGATTGCGGCATTCCAGGTTTTGGGTTGCTGCTGCTCCCTTGCAATCGAGTCTATGCAAAGGTTACTCATGTTGACCCATTTTACACTACCACACAGCCGAGTGTGAGATTTGAGATTGCTGGTCTTGCCCGGGACGGGGTTGCTCGTCAGAGCTCTGAGGGGCACTTGATTTAGAGGCTCCGAACCGTTGATACCTAGACTAGATGGACCCGAGTTTGGTTCAGGATCCAGTGGGAGGAGGAGGCCTGCCGCAGGTGCCTCGGATCCGCATCCTGGCCCTCTTCGTGCAGCTGGGCCGGGCTTCCCCCGAGTCCTTCGCTGTGCCGCTTGGCCGCATGCCGGACCACGCTTCTCCAGGACCAAGGTTTTTGTGAGTACACACATATGATATGTATTTCATATATATAAACACCCCTATGTATATACATATAGATTTGTATACATATAAGTATGTATATATTTATATAGAAATTTACCTCAATGTTATTCCAATTGTGTGTGTAATTTGCGCCGAACTTTGTGGGCAATTTACCACCAAATTTGGTGAGTTTCCCGCAATCTTGTGGGTAATTTACCCCCAATTTGTGGGGTGGGCAATTTACCCCCCAATGTTGTGGGTAAATGTACCACCAATTTTGGGACTCGTTATTTGCCCCCAATTTTTGAAATTGGGGGGTCCAAAAATTGAGGGGGGGGGGGGTGGGTAAATCCCAGGTTTCACAACGGAATACGAAGCTTGACCCCAAAATTCGGGCAAATTGCCCACACAATTGGGGTAAATTCCCACAAGATTGGGGTAAACTACCCGCAAGTGGGGTAAATTGCACCAAACTTTCTCCCAAATTACTCCAAATTTGCCAAATGTCCTCATTTTTCTCCCGATACACACGCAGTTTTCCCTTAGTTTGCTCACAATTTACCGCTAATTTGGGGGTGAACGTTCCGCAAAGTTAATGTAAATGTTGCCGAGTCGGTAAGCCTGTATAGCCCCTCCCCGCGAGCGCAAAGAAGACATGCAATGTATTGATAGAGGCGGCCCTAATATGTACATATGTATATGTATATGTTGGGTCAGTCTTTTTTTGTGGGTACCCCCCTTTTCCGTAGCCATTTTGGCTCAAGCAAGTTAGCACCTAGTCATGGTAAGAGTTGATGAAGAGCCCGTTTACAAAATGCCACAGCTGCAGCAGTTGTTTCTACCGTGTCAGGACTGTGGATGATTGTGGAAGATCTGCCAGGATCAGCGTCACAATTAAGGCGGGCATTTGGAGTGGAGGTGATGCGACGAGTTTGTCTGAACTGGCAATTGTTCATGTTTTTAAAGTTTTTTTTTGCATTTTGCATTTTTTCAGTTTTTCGCGGGCATTTGTTGCTCGATTTATGTCGCTGAGGTTGACTCTAGAGAAGTTAATTGTTTGGGTTTCAAGTTGTTTTTCGGTGGGAAGGGGGGGGGGCGCAGGACGGGACAATAATAATGCGCCTGTGTGCCCATTGTTGCGAAAGGCTTGGTTCCTGCAGCATCGTTTTTCGCTGGCTGCTCGCCTTCGGAGAGTCGGAACGGAATTATCTTTTTTCATCTCGTTTGTTGTTTGAGGGCTCGGTGGCTTGCCCCGCCCCACCCCCCCTCCTCCCAAGCCCATCAATGATTGACGTTGTTGCGTTTGCTTGCGCGGGTTCGGTGGCTTGCCCCGCCCGGCCCCCTTAAACAAATCCTTTCGCTGGTTTTGGCGGCATGCCCCATCCAGCAATAGGGTGCCCAGCTCCCCCTTCCTCCAAAGTGAAGCCCGCCAACGATTGAAGTTGTTGCATGTGCTTGTGCTTGCGGGTTCGGTGGCTTGCCCCGCCCGGCCCCTACGCCTTCTGCAAGCAAGAGGGAAGGCGTCTCAGGGCAAAAGAGTCTCACAGGAAAGCTGTGAGCTGACGAACGGACATGCGTGATGCGACGCAAGAGCCGCCCAAGTCGTATGTTTCTTGCGGATCATATTTTTCAAGCGGATAGATGTGTTTTTGCAGAGCAGATATGCTTGTTGCGGTGTGCGCTTGCGGGTTCGGTGGCTTGCCCCGCCCGGCGCCCACAATGACTTACGCTGGTTTCGGTGGCATGCCCCATCCAGCAGTAAGGATTCAGAAGGGGCGCTTCTGAAACCGCCCTTTTCCGGAAGCGTTCTCAGAAAGGCTTTCGTGTGTAAGGGCGGCTCGAAAAACAAGACTTTCGTGGGAAGTCTGCCTGCAAGCTGCGGGCGCGCGCATTGTTACTACCAGACTTTTAGTGGGGCCTGGCCCCACGCCAAATCTGGACTAGTGACCTTAAAGTTTTCCTGATTGTGCGGTTACACAGACTCAATGGCGACAGCTCAGAAGGCAGTTGTTTTCTATTGCTTCCAAGGTTTGGTCACTGCGGCCCGCTTGCAAAACCATCCGTGCTTGGCAAGTCAAGACGCGCTGTGTTCGCTTGGCGGCTCTTAGACAAGTTAGCAGGCGCGGCCGTGTTTTGGTGGCTTGCCCCATCACTGGCGTGAAAGCTGCAGCCATGTCGATTGCGCTCGTTGCTGGCGTCATCGTAGGTTTCTTCATGGGCGTGGTTGTGCCAATTGGCGGGAAGGGCCTCAAAGGCGGCAGCGCGGCGGGCAAGGGTCAGACTGACGAGCAAGGCAGCCGCAGCAGCGACGGCGTTGGCGGCTTACCTCAGCCTGGAAAATAGTCTTCACATGAATGTCGTGCGGCAGTACCTCTTCGGCCGCTTGTGGGCACACATGCAGAGCCCAAGCAGTCAGTATTACGCTGCAGAGCTGCGCGACGCTCTGCAGGCCAGTGCTTTGTTTTATGCACAGACGCAGTGTTTATTCTGCTGCTTTAATATTTCAAACCAGTCTGAAACCAAGTGGTCTCGCCGTGCCTGCCAACCACGACGCAGGCGGACAGCGGTGACAGCAACTTGACGAGGGGCAAGGCCGGAGGAAAAGCGCCGCCGGTGAGCAAAGCCAGGCTGGGCAGCTTGGCCCAGTGCCTCCTCCTGCCAAGAACGGGGGGGCAGGGCGGCCGAACAGTGGCTCGGCGCTGGTCGACCTGGTGGAGAACATGCTGAAAGCTGCGCCGCCTGCTCCAGGCGCCGGACCAGCCCCCAAGCAGGGCAGACGAGTCAAGGCTAAGGCTGCCGCGCCGCCGGCCACTGAAGACCCAGCCGAGGAAGAGGAGGACGACCCCACGGACAGGGAGCCCAACTGAGCCGCAACGCTGGGCTTTTGCGCGCTCTGCCGCGTAAGTTTGTGAGTTTGGCAACCATGATGTGGCTCAGGCGGCGTGCCCCGGCCCGCGTTGGTGGCTTGCCCCAGCACATTGGATTTGTGTCGGCGGCGTGCCCCCGCTGCTGCTGCAGAGAGATGTCAAACGCAGATCGAACGGTGCTTAAAACATGCGGCCAGCCAAGGACATTGAATCAGGACGTCCGGCGTCATGAAGTGCTGAGGATCAAGGGTTGCCGAGAGACAGTCCGGTCACGTCCATCCAGTTTCCCACATGACACGTACGCTCGCCCGATCAGCTTGGTCCGCGGAAAAAAACTTAAGTTTTTTTCCACAGACCCCATTTGTCCAGAGGGTCTCCGGTTTCCATAAGTTGTCTCCACAAACCACAGCGCTGCGGACCGTCGAGTGGACTACAATTCTTGGATTTCGGGGAACGCAAAATTCCCGGTGTTCGAACGTTTCTAGTTCTTTGGACAGTCCACAGCGCTGCGGCTTGTTGAGTCGACCTTCGGATTCCAGAGGCCCTCTGGACAGGAACTTCGTGCGTAAACTTAAGTTTTTTTCCGCAAGCGCCCTCTGGACAGAGCTCTGGCCCAAGCTGCCCGGAATGTCCGCGCAGAGCGCATGGGCCCGCTTTGGCAGGCGGTGGACCGAGCAGTTCCCGTGGCTGGAGGCTGTGCAGTGGGACACAGGCGACTTCTCCGTCAGCTGTGCTGCCTGCAAAGCTGCTGGGCATGTGTCAGCGGAGTTTCGAACCATTGCTTCATTGCAGGTCAGCCACTTCCGAGACCATGAGAAAATTAAAAGGCACCAGGCCGCAGCATCAAATGAAGACATCCGACTGCGTCTGATGGCCCCATCTCTCGAAGAGTTCATCGCAGTTCTGCGAGCTACACGCAAGGGAAAAGATGGCGGTGATGATGGGATTGCCTGGTCCGGCGGCAAGATCCTTCGCCGCCGAGCCCAGAAGCTCAAGTTTTGCTTGGCCGAGTCGCTGCGGGCTCGCACGCGACAAACGCTCAACGCTGCCTCCTGCGTCACTGTGCACTCGGACTGCTCAAAGACGATCCTTGTCTTGCGAGGGCAAACGTGCGCAGAGGATTTGCGTCCTCAGCACATGCTTCTGGGCGCACGGAAGCTTCATGACTTCTCTGCGGTCGGAGTTGCCACGGCTGTTGTGCATTTGCTTCATGATTTGGCCACCCCTTTTGCTGGTGCAGAAGAATTCAAGGACTGCCTGAAGCCAACTGTGCCAGCTCAGGTGGCTTGTCCCCAGCTGGACGCAGTTGCGTTTCAGCAGTGGCTTGGGCGCGTTGAGGTGTTCAACGCCGACGCAGCAGCCGACGAGCAGCTGGCGGGACAGCTCTTGTCGTCGGAGCACGAAGCTTTTGCTCAGCTATACTGCGATTTGGCAGACATGGACACGGGCACGCTGCAAGTCTTTCCGAACCTGAAGTTTGTAAACAAAGACAAGCCCCACGCAGCCCGCAGGACCCTTTTTTTGTTTGTGGCCACGGCCTAGCTCCACCAAGGTTTGAAAAAGACTGGCCAGTTGCTGCGTGTCCAGAGCTTCCCTTCCAACGGGTGGAGCTTTTTTCTTTTTTGATAGGCAGGCGTCTAAATGCGTTTGACCACAGAACTTTACAGTCTGACAGTGGCTTCTTAAGGGCCGACATTGCTCAAGATCCACTTCCTCACGGCGAGCTGTGTGGCACTTGTTCTTCACGTCCTTCTTGGCTCTGCACTTCTTGTAGGAGCAAAGCTGCTTCACTGCGCTGCCTTTTTTGCGAGCAGGCCCCCGTGCCATTGGTAGACTTTCTCACGCTATTTCCCTTCTACGGGCAGCTCAACATGTCAGAGCCGAAATTTCAAAAAACCAAACAAGACTTGCAGGCAGACTTCCCACGAAAGTCTTGTTTTTCGAGCCGCCCTTACACACGAAAGCCTTTCTGAGAACGCTTCCGGAAAAGGGCGGTTTCAGAAGCGCCCCTTCTGAATCCTTACTGCTGGATGGGGCATGCCACCGAAACCAGCGTAAGTCATTGTGGGCGCCGGGCGGGGCAAGCCACCGAACCCGCAAGCGCACACCGCAACAAGCATATCTGCTCTGCAAAAACACATCTATCCGCTTGAAAAATATGATCCGCAAGAAACATACGACTTGGGCGGCTCTTGCGTCGCATCACGCATGTCCGTTCGTCAGCTCACAGCTTTCCTGTGAGACTCTTTTGCCCTGAGACGCCTTCCCTCTTGCTTGCAGAAGGCGTAGGGGCCGGGCGGGGCAAGCCACCGAACCCGCAAGCACAAGCACATGCAACAACTTCAATCGTTGGCGGGCTTCACTTTGGAGGAAGGGGGAGCTGGGCACCCTATTGCTGGATGGGGCATGCCGCCAAAACCAGCGAAAGGATTTGTTTAAGGGGGCCGGGCGGGGCAAGCCACCGAACCCGCGCAAGCAAACGCAACAACGTCAATCATTGATGGGCTTGGGAGGAGGGGGGGTGGGGCGGGGCAAGCCACCGAGCCCTCAAACAACAAACGAGATGAAAAAAGATAATTCCGTTCCGACTCTCCGAAGGCGAGCAGCCAGCGAAAAACGATGCTGCAGGAATCAAGCCTTTCGCAACAATGGGCACACAGGCGCATTATTATTGTCCCGTCCTGCCCCCCCCCTTCCCACCGAAAAACAACTTGAAACCCAAACAATTAACTTCTCTAAAGTCAACCTCAGCGACATAAATCGAGCAACAAATGCCCGCGAAAAACTGGAAAAATGCAAAATGCAAAAAAAAACTTTAAAAACATGAACAATTGCCAGTTCAGTTGTGACAGAAGCCAGCGGTCTGTTCTTCGCAAACCCTCGAGCGAAGCACTCCGAGAAATGCTGAACTTTGTGAGCTTCTCCCCAGCTTTGAAACGGTTTTGCAGAGACAAATGTTCTCGCACGCTAGACGCACGTTTTCGCGTTTGGTGGGAGGCGTTGCACGAAAAGCTCAAACTAGCCGAAAGGAATGAAGTTGACGAAGACGCCATGATGAGTGTCTCCTTATCACGGCAATCAGAATCCGGGACCATTGGGTTCCAATTGTTTGGCACCTCCGCATGCACCAGATCCATACAGCATCTTGTGACGTCACCGATGACACTGCGCAATTTGTCCAGCAAGCCACAAAGCCGATGACTTCACAACACACGAACCATTGGTCCCTTGGTTCTCCGCAGCGTCAATAGCTGTCGGCGACAGAAGTGTAACGAATCCCGACCCGTCGAAAGATCAAATGAACCGAAGGCTGGAGATCGTTGAAAGTTTAGCCTCGGCGCCGCTAATGTTTGGCATGTGCGACGAAGAGTTGGAAGCATCATTAGAAACTGATGCGTTGCATTGGCTTTCTGCAACAAAAAAGCCAGAATCAGGCAAGCTTGAGCGACCGAGACTCTTCACAACTGCTTCCGTTGCACTGAAGTCAGGGCTCCGCCGCCAGGATTCAAACTGCCGACTCGTCAGCAAACTTGAGCCATCTGTATGCCTCGGCAGAGACACATCTTCGGATTTCGTCATTATCCGCTCAAACAGAAGGGCGACTGACGCTATCAGCATGGTCAGCGAATCACAACAGGCGGCTTGTCTCCTACCAGCACCGCATGTTGGCAGGGCCTGTGGGCTTACAAATGTCTCTCTGGGAATCACTGATTCATCGCACAGCCTATGTAGTTCGCGACTTGCCAACGAGTGAACTTTCTGCAATTCAATGGCCTCACAGCACATACCAGGGGTTTACTGTGTATCGTTTGTCATTGTGGGCTGAGGTGTCTCGGATGTTGTGAGAGGAAGGCTTGCTCTGAGAGAAGGTGAGAACGCTGTTTTACATGGACGATATTATTGCTGCAGCTCAGCAAGCTTCTGGGCACTTGTCTAGTGCTCAGCAGGTCCGCGAGTTCAAAAACAAAATCCTGCAGTCTTTTGAGCAGAGCGCGGCGATGCAAGTAGAATAATTACTTGAAAAGCGTCACGGGCTTCAGAAAGTGGATTGTTCTGAATAAGGTGTACTCATCCGGGGTGATGCTGCCAAGTTACATCAACCTTCTCACACTCCATAAGCTTTTACTCGGTAGTTTGACTGGCGCCGCAAGTGATTTTCTGGCAAGACTGACGTCACAACGACTTCTTCGCGAGCTGTTTGAACCGAATGAACTCAAACAGCTCAAGCGAAAATTTGTGGTGAAATCGCATTCGCTATGTGTTGAAGCGCTGCCGAGAAAGCTGCCATACTCTAAAATGGCAGCTTGCCTGCGACTTCAGAGACAGGCAACAGGCATCTCTGGATGTTCTGCTCAGCCCGAAATGCAGTTGCCCGCGCCAGACAACCAGGCCTCCAGACAGATGGGACCTCCTGCGGCCTTTTCACTTTGCAGTCGGCTGACAGAGCAGTCAAGCAGTGGAGGCAGGCAGGATTCCAGCCAGGATTCCCCAAAATGGATCCAAAACGGCCAAAAACCACAGCCATGTTGAGACACTGTCATAATTCGCCTAGCCACCACTTTATGTACATGTATAAATATATGTGTATATATATATATAGATAAAGCTTTGGGTGAATCGTCCAGCACACTCAGCAAAGTAGCGGCCATTTTGCAAGTTGAACTTCAGATCATGGCTGACCTGGTCCACCAGGCAATGATTCGGCTTGCCACCTGAGCTGGCTAAAGCAGGACGTTTGCGACAGTGCTGTGGCCCTCTTGAAAGCTTGGGTGTGGATGGCCGACACCTTGGTGGAGGCCAAGGGTGGCAGAGTCATGCCGCTGTACAAGGGCACTGGCCGGAGGGACTCAGTTGACAGCTTCCGCAGCATTTGCGTGACTTCAGTTGTCACCCGGTGCTGCCAAGCGGTCTTGCGAGAAAAGATTCTGACCGGCATTCGTCCTCACCTTGCGGAGTTTCTGGTTGGGGTCTTTGTGGATTTGGCACTGGCTGCAAGTCCATTCCCCATGCCGGAGGTTTTACCACCAAGCTGAAGCACTTTCTACCTCCTTTTTGTGCGGTTACTTTAGTTGAAAATAGATGGGCTCCACTGGTTTAGACGGTTTTATGCCCCATTTAGGGCCAACATGTTTTCCAGAACGCACCAACTTGCGATGAGCTTAGTTTTCGTGCGATGTGTGGCGCGAACTCCCACCACTTTAGTGGCGAGCGAGAAAGTTCATAGTGCCAATCAATGCAGGATGTGCTTTCTAAGGGACCTATTGCAAGGGCCTATGGAATCATGTTCCTGCACAGATTACTAACGTCCCTTTTTTTGAGAGAACAATCCCCGCCCCTTTAAAAACTGGAATTGGGGTTGCAGTTCCATTTTCCCTTTCATGGCATTGGGCCATTAAGGCTTGAATTGGGGACCATCCGCCCCCTCCGCATTAAGGCTTAGGGGATATAACATCGGATTGCAAAGAAGCCAAGGGGAAAAAACCGGACGTCTCCCGGCTTGAGGCTGGAGAGCCGAGGGGCCTTGGAGAAGGCCTTGGAGTCCTTCATCACCGAGGACGGGCCATGGATGGGCCGTGGGGGCCACGGCACTGATTGAAAAAACGCGAAACAGGACCCCGTGTAGTGACACGACATGGGCAAGTCTTTGTGTTTTTTTCCCGTAAGCCTTGGCTTGTTTTGTGTTTTTGCATTTTTTTCTTAGGTGGCCTTTCACCGGGGACCTGAAGCACATGTCATGTGTTTCCCAATCCCTCGCAGAATCAGGCAATCAACCATGGCTGCACTGCTCTTGGCACACTTCTTGGCTGTTGGTTTTGCAGTTCTGCTCGCGCTTATATGAAGCAATTAAGTGTTTTTGCTAGCATTCCACGTGGAAGATCACGCGCAATCCCCCCGACCGGAAGCCACAGGGGAATGCTCAACGTTGCCCATCTTCTCACGTTAGTGCGGAGGGTTGGCCCACGTTCCGTCGTTTCCTTTTGACCGCTACAGGAACAAGTGAGTGTGTCCCTCTTTTGGGGACCCACCAAAATGGTGCGTTTCGGTACCCTCAGAAAAGACCGACCCAAGTAATTAAGCATAAAGCAAGGCGGGGCTCAGGGTCAGGGGCCACATTGCCCAATGGCATAATCAAGGTTGCCTCGCCCAGTGCACTAAACTTGGCGTGATATGGTTCCAGGCCCCCTGCTTGCCATCGCAGCAGTGAGATTTAGGTCTTCGGGCTGGCTTGCTGCGTTGCAAGGGGCAAAGGGGCGGCCTTTTTGAGTGACCGAATCGTCATATTTGTGAACAACGCGGGCACTGGAGGAAAGGGAGCGTGTGTCCACCACAACCATAGAAGTGCACGGACCTTTTTGAAGAATGTTTTTTGAACGTGGGAGCCTGTCTACTTTGTTGTTTGCTGGTGGACGAGCATTGTCCATGAGATGTTGGCCCCAGATTAGTCAACCTGGTGGATAGATTCGGGGTGTTCCGCCCACAAAATGATCCTCGCCACTTTGAAACGACACATTCCTTTCTCCACAGGTCAAAGCCGCCGAAACCATAATTCGGGTATATCTCACCAGCCATTTCTTGATCCAAGGGTTCCCTGCATTTCTGCTCGGGATGTTTTCACATCACAACGCTGGGCCCGCCTTCGGCGGGGTTTCTTGGGCCCGACATGCCCGACGTTTTTTTCATAGGGAGCCCGGGCCCAGATCCTTTGGGCCTGGCGACTTAGGACCTGCTGCTGAAGCTCAATGCCGTGGAGCTTATGGACGCGCCGGGGCCCCGGCCGAAGTCTTGTTTTTTTTCTTTTGGTTTTCCAATTTTTGGCGGCCATGTTTTGTCAGGGCCCCCAAGGTGTGGCTGTCCGGTCCCCTTTGGAGTCTGGAGCGGTTTTAGCGCGGATACATCTATTGCAACAGGCCAGGGGTGAATCAAACCTTCACTGTTCTTGGCATGTTTTTAGTTTTTTAGTTATTTTTTGGTTCTGTTCATTTTTACTGGGGGTCTGCAAAAAACAAAGTTTTTTGCTACCATACCAGGAGTAGAGATGAAACGACCTGGAAGGCATCTGAAGGCCATGATCGGTATCATGAGCGGTGCTGCAGCCACCCAATCGGCGATGTCAGGTACTAAGAATGACAAGGTTGAACATCAGGAGACAAACGCTCGACCATGTTTGAGGTCATGTTCAAGCAGACACCCCTCATTTTGAGCCTCTCATTTGGCCTACCCAAAGCCACCAGCAAAACTCCCGATTCCTTGCCACATACGTCCATCTGCCGCTAAGCAATGGGAGGCGTGCCTTTCATCCTGAAGGCGAATTCCCAAAAGGAGTTTCTCTACTTCTCTACATGTGTTTTTGTGTTTGGGTTCCATGTTACTTGTAGGGGGTAAGTTGCATCTTAAGGTTCGGTCCAGTAGCACTTTCTCTTTTTTTTGGGAATGGTTTCTTCCTTCAAACTCCAGCCGACAACAAGCACTCGGTTGTCCAAACCCGACCTTTCAACCATTCGCTTCTCCCATGTGGGCAACCAATTTTGTCATGGCACCAAAACGGTGATCCCCTTTAATTTCCAGGTCCCTGGAAACCCTTTGTTCCCAAATAGCCACGTTTCCAATTTGTGTGGCCCAGCGGCACCCTTTTTCACTTTCTTTCGTTGTTGCCCTTGTTTTCTCCATGGGCTTCTGACTGGGGTCACTATTTTGACGGTTTCTGGGGGTTATCAAAGTCAGTAAATGGGGTTGTTTCCCTTTAACCCACCACTTAGGGGGTGACTTTGACCAGTCTGATCAGCTTCCCTCTTATTGGCGGCTTGGGGATATGAACCCCAGTACGTTTTGACAGCAAATGGGAAAGTTCCCCTGAACGGCCAAACCACCCAACCAAACCACCAACAGGGGCAAGTCTCCGTTGCAGCATCTATGGGCTTAAGTCTTGGCGCCCGCTGCAATGCACTCGCCTCGTTCTACCACCGACTCTATCGGGCAGGAGGGGCGGGTGAGGAGTGACGTGCTGCGGAGTGGTGCTGATGCACGGACCAAAGAGGGTACATGTGTTGGATTTTCAAAACATGATGAACCCCTAAACTGGTTGGCTTCCTTGTGGCCTCCCTTTACCTACCAACCAAAACGGGTCCACCCTGTTGTTCATGAAATATGAAGATTGTTCTTGCCCGTGGCTTGTTCTTCTCATTGCATGGAGTGCCAAAGGGGCGGTCTCAGCAAATCCTCGAGACCGAAAGGATGTTGTTAAAACCATAGCTGTCTCAACATATTTAAACAACGGGTTGGCCCAGCCCGAAGCACTGCAATTGTTGTTTGCCTGAGCTTTCGGGAATCCATAAGTCCAACAACCCTCCCACGTATACTTTTTGTGTCTATTCCCCCTCCCCCCCCTCCCGCAGAACTTGTGATGCATTTGGGGGCTCTAGAGTGCTCAAAAGGAAAAGTTCCTTGCCGTGGCCGCTTTGCTGGGAACGTTTCGAGGGTGAGCAAACAATCGCTTCTGAACCTTTCAGCTTTTTGGGGAGCATGATTCTTCCTTCTTCAGCTTCTTGGGGGACCTTGTCCTTGGAAACTTTTTGGGTAAGCAGCTTCCGCCTAGACCCATGGTTGCCTTGGAGCCCCGCAGGAAGTCCGCACGGACACGGCGCTGGAAGTCCGACCCCATAGGAAGGGCAGCACGGCAGCACTGGGGTCGCGCGAGGCTCCCTCAGGGTTCCTGGACTCAACTGTTCAAGCCTCCCATTTTCTTTTGGGGTATTTGTATTTTTCCGTTCTTGGTTTTAAAGGGAATCTATTTTTCCTCAGGGGACCTCCACAAGTGACAAGCTGATCAACTTTTCAAAGGGAAACCCAGTGACCCCGGTTTTCAGCTGCTCACTTCCTCACTTGTTAATTTCCTCCATTTTTAGTCATGGCCCCCCAAAAATGTCTGGGTCCAAAAGGGGCAAGTGAGCTTCCTGACACAAAACCTTGAACTTTGGATCTTGTTGGGTCTTTTTGGGCAAATCCACTCAGGAAATGACAGGCTTCCGACTGGATCCGTTTTACCAGTGCTTGTCTTGGGGTTCTTAGAGTTAGTTTGGGGCAGTTTAATCGGTGGCATGGCTGCATAAGGTTGCGTCAAACGGAGAGGGGCCGTACCAATGGCCCAGACACATTCCTTTGCAGAGAGAGCATGGAGCGTTTCCTCCCGAGCTTGTAGAGACACACATTTGGGTGTGTTGTTTTTTGGCGGGACCCCCCCCCAACAAAGCATGTTGGTTTCCTTTGGTTTCCCTCCAAAACCCCTACAAATGCATACCCTCCAAAAAGACATACCCATGGTTGGATTTGCGTGAAGCGTTTCAAAGATCACGGGAACCGTACTTGTGCTGTGGTTTCTCGAGGGGTTGCAGCACTGCGGCCAAGCATAGGACCGGGGTGTCCTGGCGCTTTTTTGCTCAAGCTTGTGTCCACTTCTGTGATACCCGGGGACCGCCCCCAAGTGAAGAAAACGTTCTTCGAAGCCGTTCCTCCTGGTGTCACAGAAGTGGGTGCAATCGCTGCAGCCGCTCTGAGAATCAGCATGCATTGTGGGAAATGCGTTTCGAGGGCCCAAGAGACAGAGTTGTTTCAGCATGCATCAAAGGACGGCACCCCAACACACAGCCCACAGCCCCCCCCCACCCTCCGCTGCCCGACTTGAACCGGGCCCCAGGCAGCATCGGCGCGCTCAAGGAATTCTACCTGCGGCGGCTCTCGCAAAGCGACGCTGCCCGGAGCCTCCGCACTTCCAGCTTCAGCCCCCGCACCAGGCGGGGCCGGGCGGGACCGGGCCACTGGGGGCTATGAACCTGGAAGCCACCTGAAAGGAAACCACCACTTGGACGGTTGGGGTCATTCCATTTCTCATTCCCTACCGATTTCGCACCAGCAAGATGACGGATTATCTACATGGGCTTGTTCCTCAAAATGCAGACCAATGAGCATAGAAGGCCTTCTTAGGTCACTTGGTTGAACTTAGATGGCACCTTTTTTGCAGGTTGGTTCTCATCATGTGCCAATGCCGTCTATTTTATCAAAAAGGACGCCTATGCCAATGAGCGGATAAATTTGAAAATGCCTTCCGCGGACTGACGGCGCTGGAAGTCAAGACATAGCAGCACCCCTGCAACTTTTTGCCATGGCTTTTCCGGTCGCCAACCTGGGAGTTGGTCATTGGCACTCTTTTTCCTGCCCTAAGGTCACCCCCAACCACAGTGGGCGTTTTGCTATTCTTGTTTTAGGAATTGACAAAATCTGTTCGAACCACTGTGAAACCATGGTTGAAAGTGGTTGGTATCTACGTTGGGGGTATTTTCCCTTCAACCTGCAAGAAGCTAAAAATTCTGCCAGCAACAAGTGATCAACTTTTTGCTATTAGGGGATCGCCCCATGTGGCCATGGAGATGGCATAACCTATGGCTCCATGGGGTGGAGGAACATCCATTTGCCACCTATTTTGATGTTCACCAGGGGTTTCTGGGTTTTGACCCACAGCCATGGGCTGCTTGGCCTCGCAGGACCAGAGACTCAGAGGTCGAGAGCGAGAGGAGCTACCCCAAGGCGCTTGCCTCCTGAGTTCGGCATATGGGCGTGTCATGTTTTTCAGGAGTGCCTTGTGTTTTGGCGGTTTTTTAGGGAGAAGCCAAGAAAGGGAAACCATATTTGTGTCTAATGTTTTTGTTTGATCTGTTGTTTGGTTTGCTTTTTGCGGGGTGGGGTTCCCGTAGAAGAAAAGACACACCGATATGAAACGACGGGATGCAAACTCGCAATAAAGCGCCCTTCCATGTACTTTGCCAGGGGAGTAATGTACTGATGAGGGAAGGGTGCACATGTTTAGTTTTCTCCAGTTTTGGCGCTGGGCATGCAACCAGTTTTGATACATTGCAAGATGCCAGCTGCAGGAAATTTTGCAGGAAATCTGTGTTTGTGTGTTGTATTTATCATTTTCCTGCGGAGTTTCCTCTTGCTGGTTTCTATGATGCATAATTACGTGCGGGCTGAAGTGGGAGGACGGGGTTTTCGATCCGGTCGCCTAGTGCCAAGGCGCACCCGGCTTAGGCGGGATGATCTCAGTCCCCCAACAAGGGGAAAGACGACCCCTCCAAGCTGACCCTGTGAATCCATTTACCTGTATAGTGGGCAACCAAGGGAACCACCCTTTAAGAGCCAAGAGAAGCATGGCTGGTGACCAAACTGGCTGGTTACCCTATTGGGGTAGCTGAGATCCACTAGTCAAGGTCCCAAAACATCAGCCCTCTTTTTCCACATCCTTTGGGCAAGTGAGTCATTGCTAGCCGATTGCAAGTTGCAAGGGGGCATGGGGCCCACCCAAGTACCCATAGTTCTTGTGCACAACATGGTAGAAGCACCTTTTCTAGTCGCCCATTGTACCCATAGTCGCGTTTCTGGAGTTCCTAGGAGCTAGCCACTTTGGGGCCTGACCTTAGTTGCAAAGTAGTGGTTCAAGTTCGAGATCGCTTGAAAAGCGGGATCCACAATTGCTTTGTCCTTTTTCTCCTGAACGGCCGAAGGATTCTCCTTCCGCCCGAAGGATTCTCACGGCACAAAGCGCGCCATGATGTCCAGGATGGTGGATGGCGGAGCCTTGAGAAGCTTGATGGTGGGCTGCTGGGCAAGGAATCCGAGCGTCCCAGGCGTCTTTATATATATATATATATAAGACCGCCTTTAAGACCGCTTTTTGTTGCGGATGGGCGTTGCTGTTGGCGGATCTGTGTGTGTG